ATAGAATCCGTTCAACACTTTTTTACTAAGAGAATTTTAACCCCGGAACACCGACATTTGTCTTACCAAGAACGTTGCCGGCTTACAGGCCTCGATCCTTTATGGTTCCGTAGATTACAAAAGGGACTATTTTTGCTATTTAAACTCTTATATAATCACACATTTAACCCGCTCACCTCTTTAAGACATCATATCCACCCACGACGTAACAGTCACCGTGAGGTCTTCTTATTTCTGCCTCTGGCACGTACTGTTAAATATCGTCGGTTCTTTTCTGTAAATGCAATTGCTATTTGGAATAAACTACCCATGAGTGTGAAAACTCTGCAAAATTTTCCTTTATTTAAGAGAACTATTACTCGATTTTTGCATTCAGAAAAGCTCCCACAAATTTTGGGTGCTGAATCTACTGATCAACTGTACCGTACCGATAGCGTTTGTGGTCTCTGAACACTATGGCCGGTCTCACCAGCTGTTCCTCAACGCCTCTACTTTGACTATCCCCAACTTCATGAAAGGAATTTGACGTCCGATAATCTCCGATACCGTGCAACCTCCCCCCTTCTTGACGGTCGATATTCTACCACCGCCGACAGTTTTTTTCTCCTGAGCCCTCCAAACCACAAAAACCACCATCAACTATATTTTTATGCCTTAAGCTCAGGAGTTTTTTTTTCACTGCTGGTCGGATTTGTGTTTAATCGCTTCCCTTGACAATGCCTGTAAACTGGCATTAAATTAGAATTTATATATCCTTCTTAACATGCCACTTATTCAATAACTGCGAATATAGTATTGTGATAATTCTGTATACCTCGCCTAAAATTATAAAACTTATGTAAAAGTTATTCTTACTTGCTATGATAGGACCCCCACGGGTCCTGAAAAATTATTATTATTATTATTGGTAGTAGTAGTAGTAGTAGTAGTAGTAGTAGTAGTAGTAGTAGTAGTAGTAGTAATATTAGTAGTAGTAGTAGTAGTAGTAATAGTAGTAGTAGAAGTCGTAGTTGTAGTGGCTTAACATGTTAAGGTACCAACTAGATTTCGAGAGAACCAGAGAGCGAATTGTCTAGACCTAGTTTTCACTAAAGACTTCTCTAATATCGGCGAAGTGTGTTCCAATGCACCTCTCGGGAAAAGTGACCATACTACGCTACTATGGGATTACTCGCTCTCCTCTCAACGTCAGAAGAGAACAGAGGGCCAACCTAATATATGGAAGGCGGATTTTAATACGACGAAGAACGAAATGCTGTCCGTGAGTTGGGACCAATGTCTCAGAGGTGATCCGGAGGACGAGTGGAGATCTTTTAAGACGATTTCACTCGATCTGATTAGGCGCTGTTGTCCACCTGAAGTACAAAAAACAACTAGTCGACCTGCTTGGTTAACTATGGACCTAAATAGGCAGATATGGAAGAAAAGCAAAAGATGGAAAATATTCAGGGAAACTGCGTCACCAGCGCATTTCGAAGCATTTCGTCGTCAACGAAATGCCGCCAAAAAATGTATCCGTCAGGCACGGAAGGAGTATGAATCCAAAATTATCCGACAGGCTGGACAGAAACCTAAGATTCTATTTCACTATCTTAACAGTAGACTGAAAAATAAGGACCCGGTCGCGGTGCTGAAGGATGGTAATGGTGTAGAGAACACTGAGAACACCGAGAAAGCCGAACACTTAGGACAGTATTTTGCCTCGGTCTTTACTAGAGAAACAAAGTTTCGCAGTCGCAGTGCCAGCAATGCCGTTGAGACTGCTGGTCCCGTGCTTGACTTCATTCTCTTCCCGACATCTGTTGTGGAAAGGGAGCTGCAAAATCTCAAAGAAACAAAGTCCTCGGGTCCGGACAATATGCCGGCCAATTTTTTGAAAGAATTGGCAAATGAACTCTCCAAACCACTGGCGCACATCTTCCGCTCGTCATTGGAATTAGGGAGGCTGCCATCGAAATGGATGACAGCAAATATTTTTCCGATATACAAGATGGGGCTCGCACTAAAGCTAACAATTACCGACCTGTTAGTCTAACATGTATCTGCTGTAAAATAATGGAGACCATAGTTAAGAAAGCAACAATGGCGTTCCTGGAGCACGGTCATTTACTCTCAGACCTGCAGCATAGCTTCAGACAGAACCGCTCGTGTCTTTCCAGTTTATTGCTCTCGACGGAGCAATGGACTCGCGCACTGGGCGAGGATGGTAGGGTCGATGTCATCTACACAGACTTTAAGAAGGCGTTCGACAGCGTCCCACACAAACGCCTAATCTACAAACTTTCTGAAATTGGGATAAGAGGAAGGCTGCTGACATGGATAACAGATTTTCTTACCAGGAGATTGCAAACCGTGTGCATTGAGGCCTCAAGGTCAACTGCTACCCCTGTTCTAAGTTGTGTACCCCGGGGCTCCGTCTTAGGGCCGTTGCTATTCCTGGTTTACATTAACGACTGCGTCGACGACCTTGGCATGCAGCGCCATCATATTTGCTGACGATGTTAAGCTGTGGAGACCCATAAGATCTGATGTAGACAGGTACGCGCTTCAAAACAGTCTCAACCGCCTGAACAGTTGGTCAGCTCGTTGGCTCCTTAATTTTAATGTGGACAAATGTCTGGTCCTGAGACTCCGCACCAAAAAGACCAGTGAGGAGGACGATTCCTTTCAATACGTCCTTGGTGGTCAGCGCCTTTCAGATGTTGTGGAACAGAAAGACCTGGGCGTCCTAATGACCTCCTCGCTGAAACCATCATCACAGTGTCAGAGGGCAGCCAAAAGTGTGGTAAGGGTGTTAGTTGCGCTGAGGCGAGGATTTGTGCAGATCGATAAACAGCTGTTCGGAAAAACCTATGGAGCATTCGTCCGGTCTCACTTAGAGTATGCAGTCCAGGCCTGGCGACCGTGGTTTAAGAAAGATTATCAAAGGCTGGAAAGTGTACAGGCGATGGCTACGAAGATGGTCAAGAATCTTCATCATCTGCCTTACGAAACCAGGCTGACCGAACTAAATCTGTTTCCTCTAAATTACAGGCAACTGCGCGGCGATCTCATTCAAACCTACAGGATTGTCAGAAGCCGTGAGTGTGCCCTAGACTTTGATGAATTCTTCGAATTTGCCGGGACTGACCGTCTGCGTGGTCATCCCTTCAAATTGCAAAGGAAGCGGGCTCATTCGGACGTCCGACGGAACGCCTTCTCGCATAGGGTCATCGGGGCGTGGAATGGACTCCTTGATGTCGTCTTTCTCTCCGAAAATGTCAAATCCTTTAAGTGCAGACAAGATGCTCATTTTTTGAGAACCTACTTTACATATAATAATGATTGTTTTAGCGGCAGCAGTTTACGCCTAGCTCACGCTTACCGTTAACTTTTTAACTATTCGCATTTACTGATGTAATTGATGATTTTATTTCTGTTTATCGATATAAATAGGGAGCTCAAGGGCGAAAGCCTCATTCCCTTAATAAACTGACTTAATTTGACTTATATCACCACGGGGCAATCTGCTTACGCTCATCATCGCCGTCTTCACCCCGAAAAACTTCGGATAGTAAGGAATGAATTTGAGCATATGATGAATCTAGGAATTATTCGTCCTTCCTCCAGCCCATGGGACCCTCCCCTCTACCCGGTACCCAAGAAATTCACTGATGATTGGAGACCATGCGGCGACTGTCGCGCTCTCAACAGAGCCACTGTTCCCGACCGATACCCTATTCCCCATATGCACGATTTTTCTCACACGCCAGCCGGAAAAAAATATTTTTGCCAAAATCGACCTCGTGACGGCATATCACCAAATTCCGGTCGAGGAAGAAGACATTCCCAAGACCACCGTCACAACGCCTTTCAGTTTGTTCGAATTCCTTCGCATGCCGTTTGGTTTGCGTAACGCGGCCCAATCCTTCCAACGCTTCATCGATGACATCTTGCGGGGTCTCTCATTCACTTATGTCTACATTGACGACATACTCGTCGCAAGTTCTTCGACAGAGGAACATGCCTCGCACTTGCGCCAGACATTCGACCGTTTCCAGCAACAAGGTCTGCAATTAAACGTCGACAAATGTATCTTTGACGTCTCTTCTCTAGATTTCCTTGGTCACCACGTCGACCAGCACAGAATCACACCGCTGCTAGAGAAGGTGCAGAGCATCCTGTCATTCCATGTCCACAAGACCCTAACTCAGCTGCTGCGTTTATAGGTCTTCTAAACTATTACAGACGTTTTATACCTCACTGTGCGGCGACCCTAGCTCCCTTAACTGGCCTTCTAAAGTCTAAAGCAAAACCCATCGAACATCCTCCAGCACCTCACTCAGCCTTTGAGGCAGCTAAGAAAGCTCTTGCTGATGTCACTTTGCTTCACCATCTCAACTCCGATCCCCACGCTGATCTTGACAACTGACGCTTCCAATAGTGCTGTCGGCGCAGTCCTACATCAACAGGTGAATTATTAGTTGCAGTCATTGGCTTTCTTTTCACAGAAGCTACAACCGGCGCAGACTCCCTACAGTACTTTCTCTCGCGAACTCCTTGCCATCTACCTGGCCTTTCGTCATTTTCGGCACCTCTTAGAGGGCAGAGATTTTTCGGTTCACAGCGACCACAAACCTCTCACTTACGCCCTCAAGGCCAAGCCAGATGGGTACTCGCCCAGGGAAGTTCGTCATCTGGACTATAGATCGCAGTTTACTGCAGATATCCGATACGTCCGAGGCAGCGACAATGTCGTTGCTGATGCATTATCCCGTCCGGACATCAACACATTTACATCCGATTTCGACCTGGCGAAGCTTGCAGACCTCCAAACAGGCGACAAGTCCATTGACGACCTGCGTTCTATTACTACTCTGCAACTTCGAGAAGCACCACTTCCCGCATCACCAGGCACGATTTTGTGCGACTGGTCCACAGGCACTCCTCGGCCTGTTGTTCCACTATCCTACCGCAGGACAGTGTTTGAGCATTTCCATTCCCTGTCACATCCCGGCATCCGCACTTCGCGTAAACTAATCGCTTCTCGTTTTATCTGGCCGAAGATGAACTCTGACATCGCTCTTTGGACTAAGCAGTTTTTAGCCTGCCAGAAGAGTAAAGTACACCGTAACACATTTTCTCCACCAAGTCCATTTGCCGTTCCATATGTTCGATTCCACCACGTCCACTTGGATTAAGTTGGTCCGCTACCCCCTTCACGCGGATACACGCAGTTCTGCAGTGCAAGCATTTACATCCGAACTAAGGAAGAAATCAGTCCAGTCGTAGGAATTAAGGTGTGTTAATAATTCGATTGAGCGAGTTGATCGGAAATCGCGGAAAAAGTTATGCTTTGGGGACAACGTTTTGTCAGCCTCGAATTCCAACGTTTAAACAACTATGTCATAGTCTGAGCCCACGTGTGGGCCTAGGGATGACACTGACTCAATTCAATTCCATTCAATTATTTTTATTAAAGACCCGTCGGGGTCCCATCAAAGCAAGTAAAAATAAATTTACATGCGAATTTTAGACGAGGTAGGCAAAATCTGTACAAAGTGCAATACATAGTTTTTGCGATTAGAAGACCGTTAACCAAATTGAAAAACGAGGGGTGAAAAAAAACTCCACAGCAAAATTTAAAAATGATTGTTTTAATTTAACAGGAGAAATAAACCCTCAAAAAATAGCACCAGAAAAATGCAGGGAGGACTGGCCTGCATGTGGCGGTATAGAATGGAATATAGTCTGACATCAACATGGCCGAAATAAATGTCAGCTGTATATGGCATTATGTAACGGATTTCATAAAATGGTACGTAGGCGGGTCGGTTAGGAGTGGCCTGTATGTGGCCTTGAAAAAGATAAATAAGTGGCGAAATTGAAAACCAGTCTCGAGCTGATAGGAACCCAGATGCGTTCGGTTTCATTCAACCGAGTCCATCTGAGCATGGGGGGAGATGCGACCAGACTTCTAGTATATGGCGAATATAGAAGGCTTTGTCAAGACCGCCGATGGACCACATTCTGTAAGGGCACGATGACAACCAGTCTCGAGGCGACAAGAACCCAGATGCGGTCTGTTACATTCATCAGAGTCCATCCGAGGATAGGGCAAAGGAGATGCGACCAGATTACTAGTATATGGCTAATATAGAAGGCTTCGCCAAGAGCATCGATGGAGCGCATTCAGTGAGGGCAACATGAAGATCAGTCCCGAGGCGATAGGAACCTAGATGCGGTCGGTTACATTCATCCGAGTCCAACCGAGGATGGGGGAAGTGAGATGCGACCAAACTACTAGTATATGGCGAATACAGAAGGTTTCGCCAAGAGCGTCGATGGCGCGCATTCTGTGAGGGCACGATGCATGAACTAAAAAATTGGAATAATTAACATTTCTGGTGAGGGATCTTAGGTAGCGAGACTACTCATAAAGAAAGGAAACGTGAACAGATACGGAAATTTAATAGCGGCATGCTAAATTCCCGGTGGCCCTTTCTCAGTGTCATAGAAAAAGTTGTCTGGGAAGGATGAGGAAAATAAAAGTTTAATCGAGTCAGTATTCAGATAAAGGCGTAGCCTTCTCTTAAAGGTGTGTAGATTTTCTGAAGATCTTATATTTATTGGAAGGTTATTCCAGAGGAAAGTATACCTGGAAGCGAAAAAAAGGGAGCGCTTAGAGGTGGAGGACGCTGGAAGAGGTATAATTAGAGACGAGTTGCGAAGATTGTATGGGCGACTACTAGGGGTAAGTGTTGAAATCCGAGGAAAATTTGAACTATGATTAATGCGAAAGAGGAGACAGAGGCCCGCTTCTAGCCTTGGAACCCATAAACATTTTAAGTTAATTAGCTGACATCTATCTGAGTAGGAGATATTGGGATGTTCCCTATCCAAAAGTTTTTTAGAAAAACGTCTTTGGACATTTTCAATTTTTAAACGACTTGCTTCATTCATCAAACCAAAGAATGGGCAACAATACTCGAGAATGGGAAGTACAAACATACGATAGAGCCTTAATTTAATTTCAGGAAGATAGAAATTGTAAGAAATAAAGCCGCAAATCTGGGCAGCTTTGGCTGTAATTCTGTCAGCGTGCGGCGATAGATCAAGATTACTAGTGTAGCTTAAACCTAAATCCTTGATGGTGGTACATTCAATCATAGGTGTTCCTTGAAAGACCACAGGTTGGGGTAGCCTATCAGGTCCAAAACACATATAACGACATTTCGACGGAGAGAATTCCATTAGCCATTTTGAGCTCCAAGCTGAGAGCAAGCAAGTCAGCATGGATTTGCTCAAGGCAATGAAGGCTCGTAGATTTTTTGAAAGAATATACACATTTGAGATCATCGGCATAAATAAATGATTGAGAATGTTTAACTGCGGCTGAAATATCATTTATGTAAAGCAAGAACAACAGAGGACCTAAAACGGTACCTTGTAGGACACCGCTCACAATAGGACTTTCATTGGAAAGTGAAGATCCCACCAAAACATTTTGTTTACGATTAGACAGGTATGACCTGAGAAAGTCTATTAGTGGACTGCGAATTCCCATAGCTTCCAATTTAACCAAGAGTCTTTTATGTGGCACTTTATCAAAGGCTTTACTAAGATCAAAATAAATTACGACAACAGATAGGTGATCATTACGAAGAGAGGTAAGTAGATCGAGAAATGACAGATGACATGTTTCACAAGAGCGATCTGGTAAAAAACCATGCTGGGAAGGGCTAATAACTTGATTGGCTATGCAAAATTCGGTAATTTTTATGGCGATAATTTTTTCAAAGATTTTGGCGAGAGAGGGTGTTTTATGGACACCTCGATAGTTCTGTACGTCAGAACGACAGCCAGACTTAAATACTGGAATAATAATAGAAGTTTTCCAATAGTCAGGGAAGAAGCCATTTACGAGAAATACTGAAAAGATTTTGCGAGCAGAGGAGGAAAATCTCTTAGCTGTTTTATCAAAGAGTTTGGGATATTGTCCGTACCTACTGAGTGAGAGTTAGGAAGATGACTTATCAGTTTTTGAATACATTCAGGGGAAAAATTAATGAAGCTAAGAGAAGCATCAGAAAACGAAGGAATTAAAGGGATCGGATCAGTTTCAATGGTGAAATGCTTGGCAAAGAACGAATTTAAAATTTCTGCTTTGCCTGACTCCTCTGTAATGAAGGCATCACTTGCACTAAGCAAGGGCGGAATGACTTGGTGGGACTTAGCAGACGATCTCTGACGGAAGATCTGAGCAACTGATTTAGAAGAATTCACGTCATTAATAGCTAAAGACTCTCTACGCCTATCTCGCTCGAGCCTTATTTTCGAAGCTAGTTCAAATATTTCAACGATTCTTAGATGAACTGATAATGAACTCATAGAAGGATCTTTAAACTGCTTCCGTAACTTTTAAAGTCTGTTTTTAAGAAAGTGTGGGATAGCGGTGGAATTAGCACTCGGTTTGAACATCTTCCGAGGAACAAGGTCAATCAAGAGTGCATGTAAAGTTATTTACTAAATCCTTATTTACATTAGCAAAGTCAAAAATACTACGTTGAACTGTTGGCTTTGCGGAAATGGCAACTGGAAGGCGACAATGAATCAATGCATGATCACTTGCAAAGAGGTCATGATAAAAATCCATAGATAAAGGGAAGGTGCCATTAGTAAAAATTAAGTCTAAAACATTATCGTTTCTGGTCGAAGAGTGAACTAATTGAGTCAGGTTTGAAAAGTAAATTGTGTCAAGCAGCTTCTGGAATTTAGGAGGAGAAGTATGTGTGTGCCAGTCAATTTCTGGCAAATTAAAATCGCCTACGATTATCTTGACATCGAAAGAAGTTTCTGCAATTTTTTCAAAGAGTTCACAAAGTTGGCTTTCATTTCCGGAGGAACAAGGAGGATTATATACACATCCGACTAAGGCTTTCCTATTTTGCGGAAGGATTACCGAAGCAAAACATAAATTTCCAGAGAAGGAGGAAATGTTCAAGTTATAAGGCGATTGTGCAAGTGATGCTCTTATGTAAAGAAGGCATCCACCGCCGCGTCTGTCGGCACGGTCCTGGCGGTATAAACTGAGGCTATCTATGTTAAGTGCCGAGTCTAAAATTAGAGAGTGGGCCCAAGATTCAGTAATGCACAATACGTCTGTGTCAAACTCAACAGCTACACTTCTTAGGTGTGCCATCTTTTGCACGACAGATCTTGCGTTGAG